CCACCGTTGCCAGCAGACGTGCTAGCTCCAGACGCGCCTACGAAGGCGGGAAGAGGAGAAGAGTGTAGCATGCATGGTTGCGGACGTACCCGGCTAGCGTTCGGATTGGCTAACAGCACTGTGTTGTCTGGAGCAGACAAAATGATAGGCAAGGCTAGGAGTAATAGTAGTAAGATGCAGGACTGTTCAAAAACTAACCAAGTAATGAAAATAAACGGACAACCCAAGTAAACACTGCGCACCATTAGTCCGGAGGTTTTTAAGTCCCGAAAGGCAAGGCTCCCGACAAGTTTGGCGACGGACAACAGAACAAAAAAGAATGCTTTAATGCCGACCAGATAGTCGGGCGACAAATTTATGGAAAAAAATCCGAACACTACACCGAACAAGCCGTGGGACGTGTCTTGTCTTGTAAATTTAGCGAAGAGGCATTTACTGTGGCAAACGTTCAAAGGAGTGGACGGTAGAATTAAAGTGACGGTTGACTTATAGTGTGTAAGGATTGAAAAACTAAGTGACGGTAACAGATGCGAAGTCAACTGCGACGATGTGAACTGAATAGGCTTGCCAGTTACACAGGCATAACTCCGTCGTTGGCTAGGGGATAATCGTGTCAATTAGTCCAGTATCAATTTACTTTCGGAAAACATTCTTAGAAACGACACGTCGACGGATGCTAGTCCTGAAAGAGCTGCACCACTCTACTTTCTAGCAGTCAATTACCTTCAATAGTCTGGTATACAGGTCGTGACAGGTTATGGTAGACTGTCTTCGAGAAAACTTTTTGAACAGTAATAACTGATTAGGACTGGGCCACCCACAGTCAGTCTTCGAGTTGTCAGCAAAATGTGAGTCCAGTAGGTACTTCACAAGTCTGCTGCATAGCAGGTAAATCTGCGCGCATATCATCACGAATTCCCACCCATGCTATTGGTGGTTGTCATCGCTAGCACGGAAAGAACTGCTTATTAGTAAAAGGGAAGAAGAAGAAGAAGAAGAAGAAGAAGAAGAAGAAGAAAAAGAAAAAGAAGAGAGAACTGCTAATGAGTGTTGGTAGGACCATAAGACAACCACACCTCGGCGTATGCAGACAATTGAGACGCTTTGCCTACAAGTAGACTGAACGTAGCTGACTCGAACAGCACACAGACGGACACGCGCTATCCAGACAACTACTTTGCTAACAGACATCACTGCCGACTTTTTTCCTATAAAAAAACATCTAGGATTTTAGTTAGCGTCTTCATTTGAGTCACATGCTGCACATGGTTTGCCACGAAAACGGGCAGTGAAATTGGCACTTGTCAATCAGATGTGGCCAAGTAGCACTTTTACATGCACGCAGTTTCTGTGGAGTCAAGGGCTACATTCTAAATATTTATGGAAATGTTCCGCAAGAATGATCAATATCGCCTTCATTTTGTATCTACCGGTGATGGACTCTACTTAATCACCGCGGATGCTCCAGTCGGTTCGTATTTTAAAGGCATTTATTGATCGAAGAACATGCTGTAGTTTATGGCACTTTTGGTTGCAATATAGTGCATTATCTATCAGCTTGTAAAATTACACAGAACGTACCGATACCATTCACGGATCCCTCCGGACCAAAACTGAGACTTGAATTCAAAGGCGATGATTGGGTCGGATAGGGGGTGGAACCGTTTGCTTTACCGTCCACTGGAGTGAGACAAAGGGGACGAAAAGCGAACCAGGAGGATGAGGGGGCAGCACCATTCGCCGTCAGATCTCCTGAGAAAACAGGATCCATTGTAGATTGTTCGGTGACGTTTCGCAGTATCGGTTCCGAAGGGAATGATCCGGCGGCTACATTTTCGCCTTTGTGAGCCCGTGAATTGTCACTGGCCCTAGTCATAATCTTGTGAGAACGCTGAGATGAGGAAGCGGTCGAGGCGGAGATGTGAGAGAAGATGGAGGAAACAAAATCCGACGCTGTGCGTTGGGGAGTATCAGTATCTACGGATTGACCGGCTGACTTCGTAGTCGCAGTTGGTGCCGTAGAGGACGTTAAATCGGAAAACTCTGGAGTCCCAGGAATAGCGAACTCGGACATGCTGTTGATCAGAGGGAAATCGGGGTGTCCACCGTCGCCCAAGTTCGAAGGTTCAGTCCTAACATACCCCCTCC